AGATGTTCACCAAGTACTGAGCGAGCTGCCTTTGATTTTATTTAGGTATTCATTTATTCCATATTCTCTGATATGGTATCCATTTTACAAAGATGTTTCAAATGTCATATTAGGAGGAATAGATAAAGCCAAAACAACCAGAAATAGACCGGCAAGGCCTTATTACGGTAATAATGTTTGGGATGACGTAGGATTCATCATTCATGTGTTTGTTTGTTTTAATATCACTATATCACTGTCAGTTGAAAGTAGGTTTTGAATGTTTGTTTGCAAACAGTTTAAAATACAAAAAGGTTTATTGAGTTGAGCCTATTAACTTACTGTTCCCACACAATATTTGAAAGCAGTTTATAAAAGAAATTGACTAAACTAATAAGATATGAAACAATCCTTGGGTGCCATGGATGGAATCAATGGCTTGATGAGATATCTTCGCTTGATCATCTGCCCTGTAATAAGAGAATGAGGATGCAAAAAGAATATACAAAAGCAAAGGGAGTAAGCGACAAACTGAAGAAAGGCAGAAGAAAATGTATGACATTGAGGCGTCGTCTTTGTTCTTGTTTTAAACTTATAAAACAAGACAAAGAAACCTGGTTTGTTAGGTGAATAAATTAAACAAACTACTCGTCTGAAGAAGAACCTCGGTGGAGGGAAGTGCTCTCAAACGCTATAGTGTATGCAGAAGTTTGAAGTAATCCTCATTGATGGTGGTTGTCAGGCTCCTTTTGGCTCTTTAATATTGGCCATGACACTAATCAAGGCTCTTGAGTGTTCTTACAGAAAAATAACAAGGCGTAACATCAAACTACAATCTGTCAGGCTCATCCAAGCAGCATTGTGTTCACTTCAATGGGCTTCATTTATTCAAAGGAGTTACCTATACATCATTCAGGCAGAATGATTCACTTGCAAATTGGCATAGAGTTGTGTTTCCCTCTCCAGAAGAATAACTTCCTCTGTCGTTCTACAACAAATTACTGCTGCCCATGCTGCCCTTCCCATCTGCTGCCCTGTGTGTGTTCTTTTTTTTACTTTCCCTTTGTTTACACAGCGTGTTAATGAGACATTAGATGAAGCCAAATCCATTCATCTCAATACCATTGTTCAAACTGCCTCGCCTGAAAATGGAGCTTCAGAGCTGCCTGTAACACCCGACACCTGCTCACCTGCCTGGGCGCACGCCATGGAAAGGTTGAATTGGAGGGAGAGCGTCAGTGAGAACAGGATAAGGAAACTGTTTTATTTAGTTAATTAAGAGAAAGTGATGGACAGAAAGATAAAGCTGTTTGCTGGCCATCCTTTTTTAAGGAATGCCCCCTTCTGGCTCTTCTTTCTCTCACCTATCTCCCATGCGTGCATAACATAGCAGCAGTGTACACCAAGCAGAAGGAGGACAAGAACAAAAAGATAAACTCTAGTTCACTCTCGAGCACATCGAGTTAGAATGGCAGCCTGTCAGATAAGCAAGAATAGAAGTGGACAAAGGATGGGAAGGAGAGAGAAACACAAGCACCAATGGAGATAAGAAGTGATAAGAGAATGAAGGAGAGGAAGACCGCAGATTGTTTTGGGAATAGGAGGAAACAGACAAAAGAAGAGGAGGAAGAAAGGCAGAGAAGTGATGCAGACCAGGTCAATAAAGCTGAGAAGGTGCAGGAGAGAGAACTTCAGCACAATGTGCACTGTGCTGTGTTCATCTCCAAGCTCAGCCTGGCGCTCCTAAAAAAAACTCTTTGTTCCATTTCTGTCACTCTCTCTAAATCCCCCCGCCACACAATGTGAATCTGCCTATCACTGTCTCCTAAAGGAAGCACCCCACTTAATTCAGGAGGTTATCAAGGCGGTACGTGCTGTTAATTACCCAGCTGTCATTGATCCTTCCAAATGTGCACGCAGACAAGTATTTAAATTAGAAGACAGTGTGTGTTTGGGGATTTTGTATGTGCGTGTGGGGAGTTGTGTAAAATCTGAGTTCAGTTAGGGGTGAGTTGTTTAGCTAAAAGTTAGGGAGAAGTACTCCGAAGAAGTTACAAGTTCAGACTGTTTACAAAAGTCTCACGTCGAAAAAGAAATCACAGAAAGGGACAGGCATGTTAGTAGACATCTTTATCTTGTCTTCACCGTGGGGACATTGGATTGCACATAACACAAAGTGGAGCACTTCACTTGTTTCAGTCCCTGCCTCCCATGCTAAGACTGCTGTTTGCTGACAATGTGCCCCAGACCCATGATGTAACTCCTGGAAACTGATGTTTTCAAAATGAAGGTCGTCTATTTTCCATCAAGCTCTCAATTGAGGTTACAGCGTGTCAATGCTTCTGCCACCATGTCGGAAGATCAGATATTGACTAAAACAGGGTGATGTAAGGTGGGGAAACTGAGGTGAGTCTGCTTGTGATCTGGTTAAGGTCTCAAGACAGACTATAATCAAGCCTTGTTCAAACTGTGCAGGCACCAAGAATATACTTGGATGTGATGTAATGTGCGGTAAAACTTGGGTGGGCTTACCGATCAAGGGCTTGAATGCTTTTGAAGCGGGGATACACTGTGACTAAACATGGAAAAGTGTCTGTCTGCTCCTCTCTCTCAGTCCTGTGGGGATTTAGGATAACTGATGGAGAGATTATTATTTTTTTAATGTTCCTTTTTGTTCCAATGGCTTTCATCCCTAATGAGGACCATATTACCGAGCTTGGTTTTCATGCATTATGGATACGTCTGGTAATATTATACTCCTAATCTACCTATCATAAGACCAAAGCCCGAATATATATTTGTTACTGAGAGGTGTTGCCTTTGTAGTCAAAGCCTAGCATAGATCATTCCCCTGTGACATAGACTGGCATTGTCCAAAATCTATAAATCACATCAATGATACACAACATGGATGACATTATTTCTATGTTTCTATCAACATTGGCACTATCATCAACATTGGTAAAATGGTCTACAACAATTACACGAAAACATGTCAAACAACTGATTTGTATGCAGATGTCAATAGTTTAATGTGTATTCAAGGTTGTGGAAATCTAACGCCTGCACTGTCAAAGTATCAAATAAACGCACAAATTCTATAAAGAAATAAAGAGAAATATTAAGATACAGGCCAATGCTTTGGTTTGCACATGGTTCACATGGTCTCTTTATCAGATGTGTTTAAGGGAACAATAATATGTATTATTGCTTCTGGCAGCATCACACTTTTGGTACAAGTTGCAAAGAAAATGGAAATAAAGAGATCCATTCAAGATGACCTTCAGCAGTTATGGCATAGCTTTTGTCTGGTTTATTTAATCAAAGAAAGAGAGGTTTGTGGGAAGGTTGGGGTCATTGACGCTTTGTTGCATCTCTTGCTGGTTCTGTCCAGAGAGAGAAAAATCTGGCCAAGGCAGAACAGCAGGAGAGCCAACCTCAGAGAAAGGTCCAATAAGGTTTTGGTTTTCTGTAGTGCGGCCAGATAGCCTCATTCAGGGGTGCAAAAGAAAAAAAGATTTGAAATAAAATGGAATAAAGCAAGAACATAAATTATCAGCACATTTGGTACATGTTCCGGAAGAGTTTCCAATTGTGCTATGCATAATGCATGCAGATCAGTGTTTGCATATATCAGCGGTGCTTTGTTTGCTAATGAAAAGTCTTCTGCCAAAACGCGGAAGTACTATTTCTTTCAAATGAAAGCTTTGAACCACAGATCAAAAAGAAGTTGTCCGATCCGGCTTCCTTTAAATAAGAACCATCTCCAGGATTGAAACAATGCTCTCACACTCTGACCTAGAAAATGTCATTCACACAACTACAGTATGTTAAAAACTTGACTGCTACCACTTCCTCATTTCCGCCATCAACTATACATCTCACCTCAAAGTAGTTCAGGCTGTAAGGTCTTTACTCACAACATCAAATAACCCCAATCATGGCTTCTCTGCAATAACTCTTTGTTTTGATTTGGTTTACAAATCCCTTTAAAGCTCACAGGATTTGGCCTTCAGAGGCAATATTACAGAAATGTTGACCCCATATGAGCCAATCCACAGCCTCAAGTCAGCTGTCCGCTGATGTGGCTTGCAGAATCAAGTATTTAGTTTAAAACGCTAAGAAAAACTAACTTTATATAGACCTGCTTTTCAACTCCAAGTAGATTGTGGACTTGTACATGGAGAGGTGCTGTTTTGCCCTTAAGCTACTAGCAGCTCATTGCTACCAAACAATTAATGGAATCCTCCATTTTCAAACTAGTGGGCACTCTTCAGATGGTAGGAATGAGAATGTGGGGGAAACTTCTGTGTAGCAATGCAGTGGGAGTCACCGACTCATGAAGGAGACACGGGAAGAGCAATAGCTTTGATGTCAAACACTGATGGTTTATTTAGGAGCTTCAGCCGGAGAATTCACATCACAAGTCCAAGAGCCAGAGGTTCTGACTTCACGGTAGAGTTGCCACGTCAATTCTGAAGAACTCTACCCCAGACCCATGTATTCAGCTAGTTCTGAGAGAATGATCAACATGCTGCATAACAAGATAGAATGATAACGCCTCTATCAGCTGACGCCAACAGGCAGGAACAGGGAGAAAGAACACTGAGAGCACAGCAGCCAAGGTTACAGGTGCGTGTGCTCAGTCAGTTTGAACTGATACACTGGGTCAAAGTTATGGACCTTGGAAAATATTTCCCCAACAGAGAACATATTTTTCTTAAAGTAAAGAGATAAATCTATGTTATTGTGTTTAAAATAGATCCGTTGCCCACCCATTTTCTTCCGCATTTTTTTTTTCAACCCCAGACATTCACTCATTCCACCATGACAACTGAGCATCTATAAAAAGCGAAATTGCAATGTGTATAATTGATATAAATACTTTGTAAGAAGTTGAGTTGGACAATTCAACAGCTCAATCATTATTTGATAACTACAGTAATCAGAAGATGTAGAAAATGTCCTGAAAGCATTCCTTATTTGGAACTTAATTGGTATGTTTTTTTTCTCTCTGTCAGCCATGGACGCGCCCCTGAATCTGACTGCCAGTGAGGTGAATCACCGCAGCGCTCTCATCTCCTGGCAACCACCACTCGCAGAAATTGACAACTACATGCTCACTTACAAGGCAACGGACGGCAGCCGCAAAGTATGTAGTGCACCCAGCAGAACTGTCTCAACTGTGTCTGTTATCTCATATCTGTTATACTGTATTTACATGTATGTTAAAGTTTTATCTGAGGTTTCCTTATCTGCTTTCTTTCTTCTAAATTCCTGTTGGGTATCCATGAAACATTTGCAATCATGTGTCCGGGAGATAAACTGTACTTTTGCTAATCCAATCACCTGAAAATAGAAACTGCAGATATTAGACGCACATTGACAACACCTTCTTGGATTTCTGCAAAGAAGAACATGTTCCCAGTTTATTGAACCTATTGTTACAGAGTTGAACAATGTTCTGGAAAGGTAAATCACAACTTTTCAAAATCCAAATTATATCTTTTAATCATGTAATCCCTTGATATTGAGTGCAAGCGTTCGGGGACACACAGATTGATTCACACACACACACACACACACACACACACACACACACACACACACACACACACACACACACACACACACACCAGGGAATCATGAAGGGGAAGTGGCTGTCTAATGAAGATGTAACTTGAATGTGTCTCAGTAGAGCCATTGTTTATTTTGATTAAATATTTTCATGTGGCCGATTCATGGTAATAAAGCACATTAGTAAGCTCTGTGTAGAACGCACCACGCCTGTTATCGAATTGACTAGAACCATTTCCCATGATGCTCTGCAACAGCCTCCCTTTTATTGGCAATTAGGTGTCCTACACACAAGCACACACATGAAACCAGATGTTCAAAGACTGTCCCCTTCAAGACCCAATGTCAGGCACACACACACACACACACACACACACACACACACACACACACACACACACACACACACACACACACTGAGCTTGAATGTGTAGTACTGCTTTGTGGTTGACCATCGGGTGTCACTCATGTACAAAGAATGCAACAGTATCCCATTTGTTTTTATTATAAGTGCCATCAGCATTCTTCTTAATATAATTTTCTTGATATTCATCCCTCGTTCTGCCTTTTCCTCTATTTTCCGAAACAATGGTTTGTTTCAAAAGAAAAATGTTCCCTAGAAATGTAATGGCGTTTACACAAGAATACTTTTAAATCAACATTTTGATATGCCATTTCCAAGACTCTGTATACATTTGCATGCTAAAGAGAAATAACATTTTTCACAATTATTGTTCTCCTACGACATACATATCTGCATAATACACAAACACGCAGCATACAAATCAATACCAAAAGGTAGAACTTCATATCTAACAGTTAGGTTTCATTATGGAGCTTTCTTTTTAATGCTATCAAAACACTCTTGTTTTCATACAGCCAATAATGTAGTTTCTTATAAATCATATTTGCATAAAACACTTTTTTATCATAGGCATTCTGACTTACAACCAGACAGCAGCCTGCTAAATAGAACAAGAGCAACAGACTTTACCAAGACCTCATCCTCTACCAACCACCCCGGTCCCTCAGATCCACCTCAGCTGGTTTGCTTTCCATCCCCAAGGCCAAACTCCGGAGCTTTGGGGATAGAGCCTTCTCTTTGGCAGCCCCGAAGCTCTGGAACTCCCTCCCCCAAGACCTCCGTGACTCTCTCACCCCCTCACCTGTTCCAGTCCACTCCAAAAACCACCTCTTCAAACTCTGTATCCATAAGCCCCCCCCCCTCCACATCTTTGGGTTACAAGAAAAGCGCTATAGAAATATAGTTTATTATTATTATTAATATTACTTTGAAAAACACACATTACCTTTGACGATACTGTATGCTTCCTATCAAATGTAGACATGTATTCAGCTTAATTGTCTCAGTTGCTCAATTGGCCACTGAAAGAAGAATGATGCATTGCTAACGTCAGTTTGCAGGCTGGATAGCTCATTAGCTGGTCATATGCAGCACCTTTTACAGCTCAAAAAGTTAGCAGCTAATGTCATATCGGTGTGTATAGATGTTGGCTCTGGCCCACTGTAGGCCCATAGCTCCTTAACAGTTTGCGGCTTAAGTATTTCTTTCATATTTTCAAGAAGAAAACCCCCAAAGATAACTACATTTTTGATAAAGCTTTGATCATTTATAAAGAAAATGTGTTTAAATCTGTAAGATTGTGTTAGATGGAGTATGAACATGTTTCTTTTTGTCTCACTCTCCTCGCCACCTTTAATAATGTTCTTTTAAATTTCATTCAATTCTTTGTTCTCCACAGTGAGCTGCCTCAATAACAAGTGCCACATTCATTGTGTTTGAAAAGGAAATGAGTCACAACACATTCAATTCAGAGCCAAACCGACCGCTGTGGCCACAGATTGAAGTGCTCATTGAGAGATTCTCCTCCTGTTGCCTCTACTTGAGGTTCATCTTGGCTGTAACCTAAACACATATTCCTGAGCCTTGCAGCTGTTCATCTCGCTCTCTCTTAAGGAGATAATGGACTTGTAAATTACACACAGTAGCAACGAGATTCATTTTTGATCTCATTAACATTTACTTACCAGTTTGTAAATGCATGTATCACTAGTGGTTATTTTGGTGCCTAGAATAATAAAGTTCTCCCTATTCAAACACGCACAAGGATGAATACAAATCCACCAAACATCGACCACACACAAACAATTGTTAATTGGGTTACTGTATAAAGGTATGTTTTAGAAAACAAGGTGTTTTTGCTTTCCATGAAAATCCTATATTGACCCTAGAAACATGGAGGGAATATGTTAGATCCTCTGAGACGGAGAGACAACATTTACCAGCTGCTGCCATGCATAATTCACGTAGACACATTGCATGGAAATGTGTGATTACTTTTTCAAAACTTGCTGAATATTTCATTCTTTCTTCTTCATATTTAATGTGTATCCAGGGCAAACTGTAACATACATGCATACCAATACAGGCGTAGTGCGAGCACTGAGCGATTTATGTCTGATCTAAGAAACCTGTCACAGCTCAACGAAAGAAACATGTTCACTAACAGAGGGAAGTAACTGTCTCGTGTACTTTTATGACTTCTTTAACATAAATATAAATGTTTATTTCCTGATTCCTTCGTAGCGTCTCAACTTGGCTGTCCAATAAGACCCTATTATATTGTATATGGCTTAGTCCCTTTCTTCATGTCCAAGACTTACTACTTAGTTATTTATTTGTCATGCCAAACATCCAGTCTATCTTACAAGGAAGTACAAGACGCCACCATTTTACAGAACAAAAGATTTGTGTGAGAAAGAAATCATCTACAATAAAAAGAACTGCCAAATGTTTCATATATGCTAACAGCTAACTTATACCAATTCACCTATACAGTATTTAAATTAACTTATATCCTTATTACAATCCATCTAATTTCCTCCTCACCTTTTTGAGTCACCAGTTTGACATAACATCGTGCTACTAGAACACAAAGCAAGCTGCCGTGTGTTTCCTGAACAAAAATAGCCTGAAGGTCTCTTTGTTGCCAAAAAAAGTCTTTTGAAAACTCACAAGCAAAATTCAATGTTTTATCTGTGACTGGTTGGGACTCTTGTGTCATTAGTTTTCTACCCTGAGGTTTACACAGAAATCACATTGAATTATTGCTTTGTATAATACAACGTCTCAATCTAATATATTTGACCGTGTGTGTGTGTGTGTGTGTGTGTGTGTGTGTGTGTGTGTGTGTGTGTGTGTGTGTGTGTGTGTGTGTGTGTGTGTGTGTGTGTGTGTGTGTGTGTGTGTGTATATTAGGAGCTGATACTGGATTCAGAGGACACATGGATTCGTCTGGAGGGTCTGGCAGAGACCACAGAGTTCACAGTGAAGCTCCAGGCTGCTAGAGGACTTGACACCAGCGCTGTAGTGTCCACTACCTTCACTACAGGTACAGTACACACACACACAACCCCCTCACATATACACACACACACACACCATGTGTTTGTATTATTTGCTTTAAACTTGGAAAGAGATTCTAACAGGGTGACTTTTCTTGGCCCGATTTGTTTCCCCATCTTGCACAGCATTTCACATTTCTGTCACCGTAACAAAGGTGCACAGTAATGTGTCCCCAACGTCAGACACAATTATAATCTCCATTTCCTGTGTGTATGGAGACTTCCCATTAGGCTGCACCTGCAGCTTGGCTGTCTACGATCCTACAGCTGAACAGAGTGCTCTAATCTTCAATGTTCTGCCCAGTGTATAATTAGACTCTGGATCTGTCACTCAAACAAGGGTTAGGAAGCATTATGAAGCTGCCAATAACTTGAACAATTATGTGAGCATGCCAAAAGTAAATATTAATATCTATCATTTAAACTCAGCAGTGAACTTGGCAGTTAAATGAAAGCTTTGCAGGTTCAGTTTTACTCTAATCTTAAACTTTTAATTGATGTTTTTTGGACACTTCGAAAGCTTCAAAAGCTATTCCAAATGAAAGCTTATTTTGAACATGGTCATGCTTCTTCCCTGCTTAATGAACTTGTTATAAGACGCCAGCAGACCAGTTAAATCAACACACTAAAAACTGTAGCTGTCATATTTCCTGACGCAAAAGCTGATTTTGACATTCAATCTGTTCAAGGAGCAAAACTACGAAACAGTCTAGCAACTGTTTTGAAAATGCAACATGGTTAAAATGTTGTGTTTAGATTTGTTTTAATGTTTTTGTACCGTGCATCTATTCCTTTTGCATTAATGTAACTAACACAGAGGCCGCAGGATAAGCTGTAAACACCCTATTAGAATGTGTTACCTTGTAAATTATATATAGGAAACTTAATAGTACACACATCCAACGGAAATGGAGCAACATTAACCTTTATTTAGAGCCGTGTTTCTGGTGGCCTGATGAATGTCGAATCAATATTTGCTCTACTTTTATTTGTCTCTTCTCTCCTGAGGGTAATTGGCTCTTTAACAGCTACATCTATAATTTGAGGCAGATAGCATACAGCTGGTTTATCAGAGCTTGTCCACTAAAACAACTGTCTGCTAAAAACTAAAGTTATGGGCTGTAAACAAAACAGTGTTTTCAGTGAAGGGCTTTGTTGTTGCGCTGAGGGCAACAACAAAGCGGTAAATGATTATCCATGGCTTTTGATCTTTAAGCAAATAGGTGTTTACTCTGTTGATATAAAAATCCAAATGATTGCAGCTTTAAAAGAAAATAGAACGTTTTCCTGTACCGTCTACGGATAACTCTACAAAAGATTGGACAAAAACAAGCAAATTATAATGGGTCCTCTTCTGCTTATCTCCAGGGAGTCGTCTATTTGCAACGCCTCAGAATTGTGCCCAACACCTGCTGAATGGAGAGACTCTGAGCGGGGTCTACACCATCTACATCAACAGAGACCCCAGCCAGGGGGTGCAGGTGTTCTGTGACATGACCACTGATGAAGGAGGCTGGATTGTAAGTAGCTCTGAAGCATTTCTAAAGCATTTGGTTCACTATAATGCAATAAACTGTAAAGGTAAAAAAGACAGAGGAGGTTTTGATTGACTACACAGTACTGAAGGTCCTTTTAGTCACAGTACTGACTTATCTTGTCTGAACATTTAAGTTGCATGTCTATTTGTAAATTGTATTTTTCTGATCTTGTCACATTGTTATATTTTTGTGTTCAGGTTTTCCAGCGTCGTCAAAACGGACTCACAGACTTTTCCAGGAAGTGGAGTGACTATCGTGTTGGCTTCGGAAACCTGGAGGATGAATTCTGGCTTGGTAAGAGTCTTAATCTCAGATAATTAATCTAGAGAGAGTCCCAGGGAGTACTTTCAAATACAAAGATTATCCACGCATCATGTCCACTTTATCTGCCCTAGCTTATCTTGCTGGGTAAAATAGACATGATGATGATGATGCTGGAACACAGGTGTATTATGAAATTAAGGTAATAAGGTCAAGTATGCTACTGCCTAGTTCAAGTTTCAAGTATCTACATTTTCTAGGCTGCAGGCTGATGTTAAAGGTGGGGTAGGTAATTTTGGAGAAACCAGCTCGAGTGCGCTAGAATTTGAAAATACACAACCGGAAAAAATCTGCCACTTCCTTACAGAGCCCCTCCTCCAACACACACGAACGCGCACATGACCAATGAGGGCACGAGATAAGTTTGTGCACAGATGGAAGGCTGACAGGCAGGTCGGCCATCCAGTTATTTTAGCCGGGCCGGCTCAGATGATTGGTCGTGCTTTTTACAG